AGGGTACATGCGTAGGTCACTTCAAGGAAGAATTTTGTTCATCTTAAAGTATTTTTTGCTGTTTGTGATTACTTGATCCTGGGTGGCACATTCTAATGATTTATTTTAAATGTGTAATTTATGACAAGAAATATTCTTTACATATTTATATTTGTACAAATATTGTCATATTTGTTTGTTTTTAGTAGACGGTACAGTTGAAATCAATTTGAAGATACAAATAGGCTATATTTGATCCAGTGATACAGTATTCTGCTTTTGCAAGATTTCTATTTTTTATTTAACCTGATGGAAGGAGGTGAGATCTTATGCAATGTTTATCTTACTGTAGGTGATGCTGGAGGATGGCAGGTCCAAAGGTTTTGGCTTTGTGTGTTTCTCCTCACCTGAGGAGGCCACAAAGGCCGTGACAGAGATGAACGGCCGTATTGTGGGCTCCAAACCACTGTATGTAGCCCTGGCCCAACGCAAAGAAGAACGCAAAGCTCATCTGACCAACCAATACATGCAGCGTATCGCTGGCATGAGGGCCATGCCTGCCAACGCTATCATCAACCAGTTCCAGCCTGCCGGTGGTTACTTTATGCCAGCTGTGCCACAGGTGGGTGAGATCCAAAAGTCTTAGACAACATTGACAGTCTGGCATTTAAATCCAATTTATACCTGGAAACATACTATAGTTTATAAAATAGATAAATACAATTTAAAAATGTAATTTAGATATTTTCATTAGTTTTTACAAGACCTCACTGTATATTATGGAAGGCCATTTCCACCACATAAGAAAAAAAAAATTATCTTTGGTAAATTATAATTATGACATAGAAAGAAAAACTGATATACCCAGTCACAATTATGACAAGATAAAAAGTCAAAATTGTGAGATAAAAAGTATAATTATGACATAAAAAGTAAAGATTATGAGATACTAAGTCATAATTATGACATAAAGTCAAAATTGTGACTACGACATAATTATGAGATAGAAAGTCATATGGCCCAAAAAGTTGAAATTATGACATTGAAAGTTGTAATTATAATATACTAAGTCATAATTATGACAAAAGTAGAAATTTGATCTCATAATTTGATCTCATAATTATCACTTTTAGTCATACATTCAACTAGTGTCATAATGATGACTTGGTATAATTTTGACATTTTATCTCATAATTTCGACTTTCCATAAATATGACTTTTATGTCATAATGATAATTCACCAAAGCATAAGTTTCTTTTGTGGATGAAATGGACTTTCATAGTATATCAATAGTATATCAATAAATATAATAAATCAATAAATACTCAAAGGTTGGGAAGTAGTAAAAGGGTCCATTCAATTATTAATAAACTCTCAGATTATGTCTTTTGTTTCTTTCTAATGTATCACAGGCCCAGAACAGAACGACGTACTATGCACCAAACCAGCTCACCCAGATGCGTCCGAACCCTCGCTGGCAGCAGGGTGGCAGAGGTCAGGGTGGCTTCCAGGGCATGCCCAGCTCCTTGCGCCAGCCAGGGCCCCGTGCCAACATACGCCACCTGGCCCCCAGTGCTTCCACCCATGGCCCACGCGGGATCCCCACAGGTGCACAGAGAGTGGGTGAGAAAACCCACCCACTAATGACGCAATGCCCTGTTGTGACAAACTTTTACCTGTTTTCCAGACCCAGACACCTGAAATTTTCCACTATCATTTCAAGTTAGATTTCAAAGATTAGTATATTTGATAAATTATGTCAGAAAGATTATTATTCAGGTTTTAGTTTTTAGCAATAATAATGTGTATCTATTGGTTCTAGTTGACCTGATGATTATGGAATTCCATTGAAAACGCCACAAACTACACATTTATTGATTACAACAAGTGAGTTTGGGGATCATTCTGTCCTGACCATAGCTTTAATGTTATTTACTTTTTTCCACAACTAGGAGGAACTAGCCAACCAATGGTTCCCCGCCCGGGCATGGGGGTGATGACTCCACGTGCCATGCCCCCTTACAAGTATGCCACCGCCATACGAAACACTCAGCCTCAGGTCATGCAGCCCATTACTCTGCAACAGGTAATATACAGACATATACTGCACGTAAATAAAAACAACACCTTTGAATTAATTATTCTAGCCGTCCAGTTGTTCCGTTTCTGATATTATGGATTGTATATTTAATTCACTGATACATATTTAATTACAAAGGTATAGCGTGTCTATTTTTAGTTATAAACAGTAATAGAATACTTTCTTGTCATAAAACATGGCCATTTCAAGAACAGTCATATGGGAAAGGTTCAAAGATATGTTAGGGATCATGGTAAATGAATTGAGTAGAGTTGCACAATACGTAGGTACCATATTTGTTTTTTATTTAATAGTGTTGGCTGAAATTGGATATAGATCAGTCACAATTGAATATTTAATTGTGCATACTCATTCATTTAGATATTAAAGTTAATGTTTAAAAACTAATAATTTTCAGTATTTTATTTTTAATTTGTACATAATTTTTTTTAAAGAATTTTATCATTGGCAATTAATCAGTAAACATGAAAATGATTGACTTTTCAGAAGAGAATGTTAATATTGTGCACTGCTAGAATTAAGATATAGATCTGAAAAACCCAATCCAATTCTCATTTTGTGGTTTACTGTGTTCTGCAGACTCAGCCAGCTGTTCACGTGCAGGGTCAGGAGCCTCTCACTGCCTCCATGTTAGCTGCCGCTCCTCCTCAGGAACAGAAACAGATGCTTGGTGAGATGAGGAGGCTGTAAGCACATTCAGCCTTACTAAACATATTCTTACACCCCGAGGACATTTTTGCGCATTATAGTTTTATGTGATAGTTCACCCAAAAATTCTGTTCTTTGCTCACCCTCAAGTTGTTCAAAACCTGTATGAGTTTCTTTCTTCTGCTGAACCAAAAAGAAGATAATTTGAAGAATGTTGGTAAACGAAAAGTTGCTAGTCCCTGTTGACTTCCGTAGTATGAAAAAAAAATACTATGGAAGTCAACCGGAACTGGCAACTGTTTGGTTACCAACATTCTTCAAATTATCTTTTTTATGCTTCACAAAAGAAAGAGTCTTGCAGGCTTGGAACAACCTGAAGTTGAGTAAATGATGACAGAAGTTTTCAGAAAATTGTGGTGGACTATCCCTTTAATTACTTTCTTATTTTATTCTTCCCTGTAGCTATTTCTAGTTGTTTCTTGTCTGTCTTACACGTGCCTGTTCTGTTTTCCCTCAGGTGAGCGGTTGTTTCCTCTCATCCAGGCAATGCACCCCAGTCTAGCCGGGAAGATCACAGGAATGCTGCTAGAGATCGACAACTCTGAGCTGCTGCACATGCTGGAGTCCCATGAGTCTCTGCGCTCCAAGGTGACAGCCGTTAACGATGATAAAAGCCTCCAGTAACAGACACTAGCTCTGCTGATATATGCAATAATGGGAAAACGTCACAAGCTTTTAACAATGTAAAGCTTATTGACTGAACCAGGGACTTAATATTATGCGCTTATTTATTAGGATTTATGCATTGCCCAGCAGGGACTGTTCCTGAGATGTCATTTATAAATGACAATGGTGTTTTATCAGCTTATTAGAGGCATGAATCTCTGTGGTGAAGATGGTTTGGGGATTGCAGGACTGATGATTTATCTCTGTTGTCAGGTGGAGGAGGCTGTCGCAGTGCTTCAGGCTCATCAGGCCAAGAAAGATGCCACACAGAAAGTGGGAGTCACCACTGCGACTGTAGCCGCAATATCATGACGAGTAACTTTTCTTATTATCAGTAGTATTATAATTTCCATGCATGTTGTTAGGCTATTTACCTGAATGTTTGAAATTATTATGAAAATTGTTTTCTGCAGGGGGAAGCTGAAAGGCTGAAGAGAGATCACCACTGTCTGCTGTCGTCTGGTGGCAACCAATAAGAACACAAAAAAAAACCAAGAAAAAAAAAAGAAAAACACAAAATGATACTTAAACATAAAGAATAAAATTTTGTTGCAGGGCTTACGTTTTTAACTCTGTAATGATTTTTATCACCTAAAGTTAATTTTACAAAGAGGCAGTTCTGTGAGGGAAGAGCCTCTGTATTGTGGCCAGGACTGACTTTTTCTATGAGGAACTGGAAAACTTGGTTCTTCAGTGAGCTGTGTGTTTGCTGCTTTGATTGGACCTCACTTGTCCCGTGACAATAACCCGAGTGGTGTGGCACTCTAAATAAAGGGATGACTATTTAAAATGAAATATATTGTCTTCTTCTTCTTCTTTTTATAGCAAAGACAAAGCGCATGTTACAGACACTTTTTATCCAAATCGACTTGCAGTACAGGAACAGTCCTTTTATAGGTTACATTTTCTGCTCAAGGGCCCAATAGCAGACGTGTTAATAACATCCAATTTCACCTTTAACTTGGACTTGGACTTGGACTAGTCTTATGACTAAAGCCATTTAGCATCCTCTGAAAGATGTCTGTATCAAAGCTCCATAAAAGTACATACATATACAGCTATCATATTCATACCTGTCAACCCAACCCCACCAACCCCCCGCCCTGCCCCTTTCCCATATTTTAGTACCCAAATGTTGACAGGTATGTATTTAATAGGTCTATTATTATCACATAAATCATGAACACGCTACATGTAAAGACAGTCCTATAAGTAATAACATATAGAAAATATAGATTTTAACATATTGTTACGTAAAATAAAATAAAAATCTATTTGGTGGTTTCTCACTGTTTAAAACAGCAACTAGAAATGAAACAAATTTAACTTTTTTGTTAATTGGAATTTCAGTTTGTTTTACATAGCTATCCAAGCTGTAACTAGCTAGCTAACTAACTAGCTATCTATCTAAATAAATAATTAACAATACAACTGTGAATCCATAACTGAACAATGGACATTTCTGTGATGTTATTTGTCCTCCGCATCACTAGAGGGCGACACACCATTTCGAGGTGAAGAAGAAGACAGTCAAGAGTCAAAGGATACAAGCAAGATGGCGGTGAGTAAACGCGTTCTTTATGTTGGTAAGAAAAACAGCAAAATTATAAATCAAAATAATAATCGCTTCGCTATCACAGCGCTATAATTTCATCCCACAATCACATGCATGTTAGTGATGCGGTTCCGGTTATCATCTGTAGCCGGGAAAGCAGCAGAAGATGAAACGTGAGCTTGAATTGAACGTTTAGTGCGTTGAATATGAAATATTATAACAAGTCAAATATACGGTCTTGTTTTTCCTCAGGTGGTCTTGCGGAGGAGGTGGACGAGAAAGTGTTGCACGCTGCGTTCATTCTCTTCGGTGAGAGATATTCAGATATCACAGATATTCAGATCCCGTTAGATTATGAGACGGGTGACAAACACAAATATTCACAAAATACACTCTTATACTTACAACTCAAACACCTACGTTATACACATAACGCATGTTATGTCTGACTCTTTCCGTCCACAGAGAAGCACAGGGGCTTTGCATTCCTCGAGTTTGAACTGGCAGAGGTGAGTACCTACTAAATTCCTCCTTAAATAGCATATATCATCGACTCAAATTAAAACGAGAATGCGTTGCTCCTCATTATGTTAGCTCACTATAGTTTGCACAAACCACCATTGCATGACTGGTATGTTTGCAGCTATAATAAAATATACATTTTGTTAAATGTCTCTGCTTTTTTCTCCAGGTTGCAGCAGCTGCCATTGATAACATGGTGAGTTACTGAACCACTGACTTCTGTGGTCTCATAAAAACCAACACAGTCAGAATGTGCACCGCAAGAGTCCAGATTAATGTCTGTTTGGTTTTGTGTTCTGCAGAATGAGTCGGAGCTGTTTGGCAGAACCATCAGGGTGAACATCGCCAAACCCATGAGAATTAAAGAGGGCTCCTCTCGGCCAGGTGAGGGGTTTTTGGTTTCAATAGGGTGCATGATAAATCTCCTGATTGTTTTTCTTTTACTCGCACTGATAATGCTGTGTTAACCCATTACTTGCATGTCTATGAAATATAAATGTGGTTTTCATTGCTGCTATGCTCATAGTGTGGTCAGAAGAGGACTGGCTGAAGAAGTTCTCAGGGAAGACTGTTTTTTTGGAAGATTGTTTCATTGTTTATCCGCAACAGCCTTTGAGAACTCAATATTTAATAAGGATCAATAAGTATTTTTGTTGAAGTCAAAACTAAATGAAGCCTGGTCTCTTATGTTTTTTGGCTGTGTGCTCATAGGTCTGCTGTCGATGGCAAACTCTGGTCCCGATACTAACGGCTCGCAGTTCTTCGTCGCTGTTGATAAGACAGACTGGCTGGATGGCAAACATGTGGTGTTCGGAGAGCTCATAGAGGGCATGGATGTACTCCGGGCCATGGAGGTGAGTTGCAGACTGAGGGAGATTACGGCTGTTTTACACTATTGTTCAAAAGGTTGTTTTGAAAAAAGTCTCTTATGCTCACTAAGGCTGCATTTATTTGATATTAATATTGTGAAATATCGTTTACAATTGAACTGTTGTCTATTTTAATATATTTAAAATGTAACATTTTATTCCTATGACGACAAAGCTGAATTTTCAAGCAGCCATTACTCCAGTCTTTAGTGTCACATTGTCTTTCAGAAATCTTGACAGTATGCTTATTTGCTGTTCAAGAAACATTTATTTTTATCAAAGTTTAAAACGGTTATGGATATTTTTTATGATTTTTTGATAAATAGAAAGTCAAAACGAAAAGTATTTGAAATGAAAATCTTTTGATGCATTATAAAACTCTTTGCTGTTATATTTGATGCATTTTTTCTGAATAAAATTATTCTGGTTGCTTTTTTGTCCTGTTTTCTAATGGCTTTGTGTCTATACTGTTTCCTCGGGCTCAGGCATCAAAAGATGGCAAAACCAAACAGAAAGTCATAATTTCCAACTGTGGAGAGTTTGTGTGAATTCAACATACTGTGTGTGTGTGAGAGAGAGAGTGAGTGAGTGAGTGTTTTTTTTGTAGTACTTTGTAAATATCCAAATAAAACTTTTATACATTTTTTCTGTTATTTAGTGGCCTGTATATAAGTTGTCATTTCAAGTGAACAATAATACTATAACAATGTTTCATTTTCGAGTCTTCTAGACATATATTTGTTGGATTTAAGTGTGAACCTCTGCAATTGGGCAAAAGTTTAGGAAGTTTCATTTCTTAAGTGTATAATGTGTTACTGACTCCATCCTCTAGATGGCATCAGTGCTGCAGGGAAACCTCTGAAGCTAGGTCACAAACTACAGAACAGATATTCTGCCAAAAGAGCAGTGCTCATTGAATGAAATCAGATCTCTCTACAAAGAACATTTCCTTCCAATTATTGATAGCATGATGGTTCAGTGCCGATTAGGAGTTACTTTTTTTCCCTCCCCAGTCTGCATGGTACCCTTGAGTCAGACACTTAACCTCAGGTCACTTAATGCTCTCCACAAAGATTAATTAAACATGTTCTGCTTCCTCAGATCATATCGCTGTAAAACAAACTGTAAAACAGCTCAAATAACGAACCAGGAAACCATAATATCTTTTATTGTAAACACAGAAACATTAGTTTGTGAGATGTTAAACTGACATGGAGCCACTGAAAAAGTGAAGCCATTAAGCCATTTGTTTTAAAAGCATAATAGGTTTATACACATCAGCAACCCAGCAAGCAATGCCCCGATCACACACCCCCATACGACCAGTGACAGACACTTTCATCTGAATGTATGAAGAGTTTTCCAATTATCAGACTATTTTAAAACATCTAAAAAAAACCAGACAAATGTAGTTACCATTTAAATACAAAGGGAACCACTGCAAATTTGGAAGGGATTTATGATTAATTCATCAGTTCGGCCAGGTGAGGGGTTTTTGGTTTCAATAGGGTGCATGATAAATCTCCTGATTGTTTTTCTTTTACTCGCACTGATAATGCTGTGTTAACCCATTACTTGCATGTCTATGAAATATAAATGTGGTTTTCATTGCTGCTATGCTCATAGTGTGGTCAGAAGAGGACTGGCTGAAGAAGTTCTCAGGGAAGACTGTTTTTTTGGAAGATTGTTTCATTGTTTATCCGCAACAGCCTTTGAGAACTCAATATTTAATAAGGATCAATAAGTATTTTTGTTGAAGTCAAAACTAAATGAAGCCTGGTCTCTTATGTTTTTTGGCTGTGTGCTCATAGGTCTGCTGTCGATGGCAAACTCTGGTCCCGATACTAACGGCTCGCAGTTCTTCGTCGCTGTTGATAAGACAGACTGGCTGGATGGCAAACATGTGGTGTTCGGAGAGCTCATAGAGGGCATGGATGTACTCCGGGCCATGGAGGTGAGTTGCAGACTGAGGGAGATTACGGCTGTTTTACACTATTGTTCAAAAGGTTGTTTTGAAAAAAGTCTCTTATGCTCACTAAGGCTGCATTTATTTGATATTAATATTGTGAAATATCGTTTACAATTGAACTGTTGTCTATTTTAATATATTTAAAATGTAACATTTTATTCCTATGACGACAAAGCTGAATTTTCAAGCAGCCATTACTCCAGTCTTTAGTGTCACATTGTCTTTCAGAAATCTTGACAGTATGCTTATTTGCTGTTCAAGAAACATTTATTTTTATCAAAGTTTAAAACGGATTTTTTATTTTTTTATGATTTTTTGATAAATAGAAAGTCAAAACGAAAAGTATTTGAAATGAAAATCTTTTGATGCATTCTTTGCTGTTTTGCTGTTATATTTGATGCATTTTTTCTGAATAAAATTATTCTGGTTGCTTTTTTGTCCTGTTTTCTAATGGCTTTGTGTCTATACTGTTTCCTCGGGCTCAGGCATCAAAAGATGGCAAAACCAAACAGAAAGTCATAATTTCCAACTGTGGAGAGTTTGTGTGAATTCAACATACTGTGTGTGTGTGAGAGAGAGAGTGAGTGAGTGAGTGTTTTTTTTGTAGTACTTTGTAAATATCCAAATAAAACTTTTATACATTTTTTCTGTTATTTAGTGGCCTGTATATAAGTTGTCATTTCAAGTGAACAATAATACTATAACAATGTTTCATTTTCGAGTCTTCTAGACATATATTTGTTGGATTTAAGTGTGAACCTCTGCAATTGGGCAAAAGTTTAGGAAGTTTCATTTCTTAAGTGTATAATGTGTTACTGACTCCATCCTCTAGATGGCATCAGTGCTGCAGGGAAACCTCTGAAGCTAGGTCACAAACTACAGAACAGATATTCTGCCAAAAGAGCAGTGCTCATTGAATTGAAATCGGATCTCTCTACAAAGAACATTTCATTCCAATTATTGATAGCATGATGGTTCAGTGCCGATTAGGAGTTACTTTTTTCCCCTCCCCAGTCTGCATGGTACCCTTGAGTCAGACACTTAACCTCAGGTCACTTAATGCTCTCCACAAAGATTAATTAAACATGTTCTGCTTCCTCAGATCATATCGCTGTAAAACAAACTGTAAAACAGCTAAAATAACGAACCAGGAAACCATAATATCTTTTATTGTAAACACAGAAACATTAGTTTGTGAGATGTTAAACTGACATGGAGCCACTGAAAAAGTGAAGCCATTAAGCCATTTGTTTTAAAAGCATAATAGGTTTATACACATCAGCAACCCAGCAAGCAATGCCCCGATCACACACCCCCATACGACCAGTGACAGACACTTTCATCTGAATGTTTGAAGAGTTTTCCAATTATCAGACTATTTTAAAACATCTAAAAAAAAACCAGACAAATGTAGTTACCATTTAAATACAAAGGGAACCACTGCAAATTTGGAAGGGATTTATGATTAATTCATCAGTCAATTAATTTTTGAATGTTGTTTACTGGAATTGTGTTGTCAAGCTTCATTAAAAGTGATGAAAGCACATGGGGTTAATTCAAAAAGATAAGAAAACATTCACATTCAAGTTCATAATCATACCAACCTTCATATTTAAATTCCATTAAGTTTATTTCAACAGAATTACAATAAAGAAACATTTAGAAAATCCACATCCTCAAACTATTAATCATCTCACATCCTCTATCAATTGAGAAATGTCTAGGGGAATACTGAAGCGTGAACAATGATATCTCAGTAAAATATTCCCGGACAATAAATATCATAGGGTGTCTACACAGAATGCAACATCCAAGTTATAAATTACATATAATGCCTCATTTCATGCCATAGACACAATATGAATGTTTTGTGTTGAGTGAACTTGTCTGTTTTTTTTTTGATGGGTTCAGCTTAAATTCATAAGACGACAACACCAAGACAGTATTTTCTCTATCTGTTGAAGATCACAGATGTCTGAGAATCTGAAGTGTTTATTATGGATAAATGTTATTGTATTGTACTGTAATTATAGTCTTCATTAACAAGAGATGTAACAGTTTGATCTTAAATCCTAAAACATTGATGAATGATAAATTTTGCAAACAAACAATGCATTGCTCATGAGAATGCAATTTAAATTAATTTTTGTCTGCCTGTAAAATATCAACTTTTATCTTTGGCAATGGTTCAGAAACAAGGAACAGAAACTTTTTTTTGCCTTCTGGACTTTCCCCAATGAAAGTGCTAAAATCTCTCCCAAAAGGGTTTCAGAGCTAGTGAGCCGCTGAGTGTGCTGTCATAGAAATGCACTGGTTTGAACTTTACATCGGTGTGATCCAGTAATATCTTGAGTAGCAGCAGTTACAGAGGTCAAGTGCTTTGTGCTCTTAATGTTTCCCTAATGTTACTCTAATATTAGCAAAGGTTATGGCTTCTCCTTCAGCTGCTTCAGAACATTTATTGAGCCCTGCTGTATCAAAGTTCTAGAATTGAGAGCTATTTTTTTTGCAGGCTTTTCTATGTGGTTGAAAATATTTGATCATTTTTACTTCAAAATCTATTTTCATAGAATCTGTTGCTAGGAAACAGGGTCACATTATTACATTATGTGCTTCAATTGTTCATTTGTGCTCTTAATTGCCATTTTAAGGCTACTTCACACAACACCGACAGAGACGTTTGTTGAGTTAGTGGGATCAATGTGTTTACCCCTTTTGCAGTCTGTTCGAGTTGGTCAGAGTTTGTGTTTAGAAACTAAAGTTTTATTGTGTTAGTCGGGTCATGGAATTGCTGTTGGTCAGGGTTGTCGGTGCAGTACAAACCAGCCTTTATACAAATTCATTTGTAGTTTTTTTTGCAAATTCCAGCAGCAAAGTTGAGCCTAAATTACTATCCGATACAAAGTGCACAAAACAAATGAAGAGACTGCACAAATGACCTATAAATGTATGACTTTCTTCATCTCCTAAAGTTGAATAGTGGTGCTGTGATTTTAAGGCGCCAAACATACATTTGTTTTACATGTTTTTCTTACCATGCAAAGAAACACATTCCACTTTCAAGCACTGCGTGCTGGCTTCTTGAACTTCTCTGGAGATAATGTTTAATCTATAAATATTGACCAGGCATTCTCTTTCACCAGGTCTGGAGCGACTCTGAAGGGTCATCAAAGAGATGAAATATCCTACTCATGCGATTCTTCCACCTCTCTCAGGCAAGCTGAGAACGAAGGGGAATAAGATCCCTTTGGCCTCCACAGGTGCTTTCAGAGACTCGTCTTTGAATCGACCTCCATCCTCTTCTACAATGAACTGAAGAGTCTGAGATTTATTCACACAGTAGATGCAATTATCGATGACAGCGCATCGAAACGGCAATGTGCTGCCCTGCTGCTGGGAGGCGCAGTCATGCCACATCTTCACGATGGTGTTGTATTTAAAGACGCTGATGCCCTGTTCACGGTTTACATCAAATCGGTAGATGAAGCTCTTGAGAGCCACCATGTCTGTGGACTTTTTCCTGCTGTTGTTGTATGGACACTCTTGCCATTCATCTCTTTTGGGGTCATATTTGAGCAACCTATAGAACAGAGACCCTCCCGAGACGTACAGCTCACCGTTACATGTAGTGGCTTCATGAGCTACCGCAAATGCTCCTTTGGGTAGAGGAGCCACTGGCGTCCAGCGGTCCATTCGAGGGTCGTACTTCTCCACCGTGAAAAGACATTCACCGCCAATGGCGTATAAGTTCCCGTCCATGGAGACGAGTTTGAGTTGCGATCGTGCTTGATTCATGGATCGGACTTCGCTCCAGCGGTCTGTGATGGGATTGTAGCAGAACACTTTGTCCAAGACTTTGCTTTTCTCCCCAGTTCCCCTGATCCCGCCGGCCACAAACAAGTAGTTGTACATGGTACAGATACCGCAGCCTCTGGTGTTGATGTCTTCTGGCATGACGGTCAGCGTGTGCCAGTCCTTACTGCTCTTATTGTAGTAGTAGATCATGTGATTGTCCTCAAAAGACGTGATGGAGAGAGGACTCTGGGGACGGCTGCTGTTTCTGCTGGGCGGTCTACTTCCTACACGCTCAAATACATCATTGATTTCTGCCACCATCAGACACTGGCGGTTCTCCATTCGTTTGCGCAGTATGAGGTCTCTCTCTGAGCCCGTGAGGCGCCCGTAGACTGCCGGATCTCTCAGAACCTGAAGAAAGTTGTCACTCATGAATCGATAGGCGGTTTCTTTCAATTCATTTAAGCGCTGCTTTTTGGCGATCGTTAGGATTTCATAGCAGTTCTCTGGCGTGATCTGTGTGGATATGGTGTCGATAGCAGCTTGTACCGCACAGGGCATCTGCAGGATCTTTGCTCCTGTGATGACATCCATAATATTGTCTTTGCTTACGTTCATCTGGGAGGAGTAAACATAATCTACAAGCACCGATAAGGTCTTGTAGCTCATTCCTTTTACCTTCAGGATGTCTCGAGAGAGCCTAGCCTTAAAATAATCACTTTTCTCAGCTAATACTAATTTGTGTGCTTGTATTTTCTGTCCGCCCACCTCTATGACTAAATTCGGCTCTTCCTTTGCAGACAGAGCTTCTCTTACTGCAGATCCAGTTGGCTTTAGCCCTTGGCTCGATTCCAGCCTAGTCTGTCCAAACAGTGTTCTGTAGCGGGTCTGATCTGCTCCTTCAGAGGAACTTATAAAGCTTCCTAGGGTTTTTTCAAGTGACCTTGTTTCTTGAGAGCTTGAATAGGAATTATTTCTGTCCTTTGATGTGGAGGAGACATTTTTAAGGTCAAACTGACTCCGAACCACCTCACCATCTTTTAGGACATTGGATAATTCGTCAATTTCCTTCTTGTTCTCTGCTCTGAAGCACAGAGAGGGTGCCAAACTGGAAGCTACCTTTGTACCATTTGTTTCTTCTCTAATGTTTCCTTGACTTGAGGCTTCACTCATATTTCTCAAACTAAGGTCCAGATGTTGTGCTCTAGACGAGTCCAGAGGCTGTATGTGCTCTTGAAATCCACTGTCACTGGAGACAGCATCTTGTGCGTATTCTGCACCTGTTACAGCGCCGTTGTTTCCCAAACTCCTGTTGTCAGTTAAACCTCCTGATTCGGACGTATCCCATGTACCCGGTAGACCCTGCAGTATTTCCACGCTCGGGATGCCTGTTTTCCCCAAAGCCGGGACATTGTTATTGTTCCCTTCACCTGGGATAGGCGATTCTGGAGAGTCAGGGTTTGCCGCGTGAAATATAACGTCTGCTTGTACTGTGAACATGTTTCTGTCTTGCAGAGTGTTGCTCATCTTTCTGTAGTTGTGGTACACCTTATGTCACTCATTTAGTGCTTTCAGAGCAACTCAGAAATGTTTCCTTTCCCAGCAGTAGACCTAAAACAATCCCAGTGAGCCTGAGGAATTATTGGGGTAATGATCTTTCAGAGACAACATTGGTGTGTCCTAGCTGGACAGGTTTGCTGTTTGTTCCATCAGTGTCCATTTCATCCAGGTAAACAACAAAAATAAACATATATCAAGAGAAGATCCTTTGTCCTCAGTGTTCACAGCACTGGGGCCAAACCTTCCGAGAAAAGAAGACAAAGTGATTCATCCATATAATTACACTCATATTACATATTACAAATTTCTTGTAGGCCTAATCGAAATGATTAGAAAGTTAATGTTAAAAATATAATTAAAACACATTCTAACGTGAACTAATAGCAAGTGGTGCTCTTATGGGCAAAAAGCTTTCAACAATGCAAATAATCTGTCTGCTGCAGTGACAGTATAATATAGATCATGAACATCACATAATGAGTTGCTGTACCCCTCACTGATCTAAACACTGAAATGCTCCATTTAAGTCACTCTAATGCGCACTGCTTGCCAACCTACTGACACAGCATTATGGATTAAATCTTAAAGAGATCGCGAAACGGCACCTTTAGTTAATGTTCTGTCATTATAGTTGTTAAATTACCAATTTAAATAGATCTAAAAACAAATGTACAGCGGACGGGAGACAGAGAGGTATATATTAATAACGCTGAGGAAAAGAGGAGGCGTTTTCAGACAGATAAAGTAACATTCGTCTTTGAAATAATAATACTGAATATAATCTAAATTATTCAATAGACCCGGTAACGTTACTTACACGTTAAACGGCGGAATTTCTTTGCGCAATTCCTCACACAAAGCAGTCTTATGTAAGTCAGTGACTGTAGATCTAAATACATCGCGCTGCAGGGAATCCACGCATTATTAGTCTGCGAGGGCTGAGTTTTCCCAAATTCAGACCACTTAACCATTCACAGGAACGTACTGTCCATCCCATATTGTAATAAAACGGCAGTTCGATGAGAACTTTTCTTCCTCCTCATCCTCGACCAACTGTATGCGTCTGAAAGCCTCGACAGGAGAATCGGCGTCCACAAAATGTCATTATCTCAATGAAAAGAATAAAACGAAATATATTCCACAAAGCGACCCTGTGCTCCGGATTTCATCGACATCGCGTCTCTGCCCTCGGAGTGATTTTCAGTATTTTTTTATTTGATTGTAGGCTGAGGTAGTTATTGGTCCAAACCACACCCCCGTTTGTGTTCACCCTCTTCACATTAGAGCTGCTGATCAAATCCGCGGTTAAGCGCGCGGCGCGACGCGACGTTCCTGCACACTCGACGCGAGGCGCCGCCAAATGAAGGATGTTGCGCAACGGGAACTCCCAAGAGCAGAGCATTTCAACGTTTATTGAATAAAAATACTAAATGTTGTGCTGAAGCACTTTATTATTCTTCAATAAAACGAGGTAGTGATTTTCTAAAGCACAGCAAACTGGCTCAATCCGTGAAGAACACTGAATATATTTGATATTGTTGACAAAATACAACATGAAACGAAAAATACATGTCTATATATATATATATATACACACACACACACACACACATCCACTCTATAAAAAGCTCACAAATGTCAGAAAAATTTAATTTCAGGTTTTACTCAAAGGAGAGAAAAGCAAAGCTTGAAAAATGGTCAAGAACAGCATGACTTCATCTGGCCTTCTCAAATGTGGTGAAGTTTTATGAGCACATTAAGGAAGCCCATTACTCTCCATCTTGATATTATGGGCTGCACCGGTCTTCAAGAGAGTTACTAGGGTAACCACTCCATTTCAGAGAGCAACAAATCAGAGTTGAAACGGTCTGTCAGCCTGACTGCACATGGTCAGACTGAGATGACACTATTAGCCCTCTAAATACACACATCAGCTGTTCTCAGTCTGAGGGGACTCACAAAGATCCCTGAGCCCACAAAGACTGAAAGCATTGCATATATTAGTGTGGCATCCTGTGAGGGAGGGAGGGAAGGCCTCCTGCAGAACAACTAGATCTCACCCTAGTGCTAGTGCTTTTATAGCACCGAGGACTTTGTAACTCAAACTTCAGAAGTTTTGTCCACTAAATTATGACAGGCAGATATCAGATCAAAACCAAAGATTCTTGCAAATACTGAGAGATCAGCTATTTTCTTTATCTTAAAAACTCTAATTACAATAATTATAAGAACTATTACTTGGCATTTTGCAAATGGATTATTTTAGGGCACCAATAGTGCTTGATTCTCTGTCTTGATGTGTAAAAAAATCGGTTCAAATGTTATCTGCATTTATATAAATATTAATATTATCACTCAGTGTGTAGATCCAAGTGTGAATATCAAAACATCCAATAATACCAACCATCATCATAAAGGGATCATAAATACTACCCTTTTAATTTCCCTTTTAGGCAGACACCTTGCAAAATGAATATTTCAAGACAAATTCCTCTCAAACACAATCACACTGGAAACACAAAGGAAAAAAAACTACACATTTCAATTTTTCTTAAATTAAGTTTCTTTCCTTTCTTCCATCCATGCCCATGTCAATTTTACCGTAAATCAGTGTTGCTGTTGGTAACCTCAAATGTGATTTTCTTCTTGGGACATTCCCTTATGTATGAGCTGGCAGTTATAGTCTATCAAAAGGAAAAAGAAACTAAAAAGGGACCGAAAATAAAAAGGGCCAGTTGAAAAAAACTAATTCACACGTTTATCTATCACACTTGCACAGATATACAAAGAACGCTGGTTAAAACAATGGTATATATTTGTTAATATACAAGTCAGAAATACATATCACAATGTGTCATTATAAAGCTTTTTCCATACCTTTAAATATTGATAAGCATTAACTTTAAATTAGAATTATGGAGGAATGCTATTTTTCTTGAACTTGTAACATAGGACACCAACTTCACTTTAGGACCCAAACAGAATCTCTGGCCCGCCAGAGAATCCCATACAAGTCATTCAGTCACAGGTTGTAGCTGATCACAGAGGCCAATCTAAAGGTCATATACCTCAGATGGGCCCAGATTCAACCAACGTTTTAGGATTTCTTTTACAAGAACAACCATTCCTTGAAACAAACATTTTGAGATTTCCTTTCATGAAATGTTCTTTAAAGAAAAACAACTGAAATTAAATGATGAGCTGAACAGATGCAGGTACTGAAAGCATGTTTAAAATGTGACAAACGATAGAAACATTTCTGCTGTTTGCTAGTTGGCTAGATGTTCTGTTACTTTTTTTTTGTTGTTGTTGCTTTTTTTGTGAAATGTAATTATGTAGCAGTTAAAAATGTTATATTACCACAATTAGACCTGAATATTATCACACTGCAGTGGTACTCACATTTTCACAAATGCACTTTTTAATTCGGGTGAAAGTGGTAAAACACTATGCATGACCGAGTACTTGGTAGTTCAGCTCATTCCTGGAACACATTCTTTTTTTCCCCCTTCATTCATTAATCTTTTCCCCCCTGTCAGCCCATGACTGAATGCAAGGTCAGTCTAAGGAACTGCTCTCTCTGACGTGCAGTGGCCTATAATGAAGACGTACAGTAAAAGCATCATTAGATGAGTAAAAGAAAAGAGCGATGGATACTGGTGTTTGTGCAGCTGCATCCAAACTAAAACCTGATCCTCACCATTCTCTGAATACCTCCATCTTTTTCTCTCACAGGCTGGGCAGTGGTATTTGCCACACCATAATAGTGGACACCATCTCCTCGTGCTTAGACTGTTTTGTTTTTCTGTTGATTCTGCGGTGTCCCAGTCCTCCAGACACCACCAACAATGAGCTCACATTTACTTTCTCAGTCTGCTTGGCCTTCTGGAAGTGCGCCGGCTCGTTCAGCAGGTCGTATATCGCCCCGTCCTCTGAGCCGTGCTCCAAAGAGCCCTGAGACAGAGCCAGAGACCCACATGAGGAGGACAGGGAGTCCTGGAGAACTGGAGCATGTGAGGGAGAGCTGGTACTGCTGCACCCCACCCCAGAGCAGCTCTCGTCCAGTTGGGTTCCCTCCACCTCGGGGGCCCCAGGCTGGCACTGGCTGGGTGTGCTGGAGGTGAGAGTTGCCATGGTTGCTTGGGAGACATTACACACTGCTGTTGCCATCGTGAGGAACTTGACTGGGCCATGGTGAGCATGAAAAGAGACCATTCCTCGACCTGGGGCAAGACAATGAGGGAGATGAATGACATTAAAAAGTTTGCTCAAGCATAAAATAAAGAGATAAAACACACACAAATGTTAGAACACAATAATGAAATATATAAGGGTAGTAAAATATAACCCATCAAAACAAAATATAAATTTTAGTATAATTACTAAAAAACCTTTTTCAAATGTAAATATTAAACATAAAATCAGACGTCATTAAGTGTTATTTTTGTTTTATTTATATATACACTTTTATATACTTATTGGTCCCACTTTATATATTAAGTGGCCTTAACTATTATGTACTTACATCAAAAATAAGTATACTGTACTTATTGTGTTCATATTGTATTGCAAAACACTTTTGCTGCTATTGATGTGGAATACGGGTTAGGTTAGGTTAAGTTGTAAGGAATGAGTCAACCGTGTAATTACAAATGTAATTACATGCAGGTATTTAAAAAAATATATAAGTACAATGTAAAAACATGCATGTACACAATAAGTGCATTGTTCCAAATGATTAATTTAAATGTAAGTGTATAGTAGTTAAGGCCACTTAAAGTGGGACCTATATATAATGTATATAAAAGTAAATATATAATAAAATTACATCTAATTTTTTTTTTCATTTTTAACATCAATTTCAAGTTTTTTTTTTTTAAAGTTACAAATTTAAATGTTAAAAAGTTAAAAATTTTCATCTAATATTAAATTTTATTTAATCAGCTTTTATTCAGCTTTACTTTGTAGTTTTATTTAACAATAATAGTCACTGACTGTTGTGGCTTTTGTGTGGTTTGTTCCTGAACTTCTGCTGAGTTGCAGTATTTGAAAGTGCTACAGACTTAAAATTACCCACAGGGCACTGGGCAGCAAACAAACCTCTGCCCTTAGCACAATTCCACAGTAAGCATTAAAAACTTGTCAAGAACCCACCTGTGACTTTTGGGATGCCCTGCAGTCTGGGCACGGACAGGGCCACAGTGACCCCAAGATTGGTCCCCACCAACAGCAGTCCGTGACACACTAACAGACTGCTCACAGAGACTCTCTGCTGTCCTGAAATGGAACAATTAATTTGATTTAAATACTTGCACTGCAAACTAAATCAGAAAAACACATACTATAAAACACTTGTGGCAAGCACTCATGACTAAAGGTACTTGGTGAAACATTCAGCCAGTGGAATAATAACATCATCCACACATGCTAGGCTGTGTGGGTAGGAACTCGACAGCATGTGTGGGTAGGTTACTATGGGGATGATGCTGAACAGCAGTTGGTTTCCAAAGAAACCTGACACGATGCGCACTTACAAATGCGAGGGAGGCCTCATTAGAAAGAAAAGAATGCCAAATGTTCAGATATTTGGTTAAACAAACAACTCTAAATTTGTACATCATGTACTGTACATTAAGTGAAATAATTTTAATGAAAATAAAATTCTAAATGAGCTACTGAAGTCCACAGTTCTATGAATGATATTAAATCGATTTTAAAATGACTGTCATGTTGGTGATTAAATAAAATCATAAGCAATTGTCATTGTCATTTTTGACCCATTATTGGTAAGGAACATGCTATAAATTGACACTGTGAAGAATATATAAACAAACACCATAAAAAACAACACACGAAAAAAGCACATTTAGAAATGGTAAGGAACGTTGCATTTAATAATAATAATAATAATAAAACAGTTATTTTTACTCAAAGTATATTACTGCATCAATTAAAAAAAATAATAAAATAATACAGAATATAAACTTTAGGAAACTGTTGTAAGAACTATGAAGTTAAGAAAAACAATGGGAGGGTTAAAGGATTTTATGCACTAGACTTTTCAGAGACTTTTACCTAAATGCAATAACAATGGGTTTATAGTTTATTAGTGTGACTAAAAAGTAGTATGTCATCGGGCCAGAGCTGTTCTTTGGTCACTTATCACACATGAGCAAACAGAACTGCTGGTAAAAAGGAACTACACTGACTGAAAAAACACCCTCCAAACACCCGATTGGTCAGGACCAGACTGCAAGTTTGAAGTATGAGAGAACAATATCCTATTCAGCTGTTCCTTAGTGCTCACTGACTCGTTAGGAAAGGGTTTGCTCATATTTCTGAACATCATAGATCATTTCATTAGTCATGGAAACTCTAATCGAGGACTATTGCTAAACAAATGAGGACTGAGTTTGCAAAAGCATCTGCACAGTTTTGAAGTGTTTTACTACAAGTCCTGTAGACTAAATTAGTAGACCAAATCTGTCACAAAGAAACTAAATTAAGTTTTAAATGGCCACTTTATCAACAACTGTTCAGTCCTCTTTATACACTTTTTAAATATGTTTTATCTGTTACTCTGCATAAGTTATTGTGAAATT